TCTGATATTGTGTCATCTATACCTAACAAGCTAAAAAACTATTAAGCAACATTCAATGTTCACTTAACGTACTAACATCAAATGTAAAAGGTAGTGTTGTACTGAACATGATATTAAGGCAGTCCCACTGACACTTAAGGGGTGTTCACTTTAGCTTTACGGTTATTTAACATAGTGTTCTATTCTCTGCTCTGAAAATTACCTTCATAGCATCAGTTGCAGGAATTAAGATTAAATTGAACATAATCTATGAGCTAGATTATGTCGTTATGTCACGCTAATTGACTAAAACAATCAAAACGGCAATAATTGAAAGTGCTTTCAAAACTCATTAAATTCGTCCAACTTAGGGGGTGACATGCACTCTAAGTTGGGCGAACTTTGTTTCATGATATATCCGTGTCATATTTATCATAATTATACAGTATAACATCAATAAACACCATAAAATATAAATTGCCTAGGTTCACTTTACATGTGATAAATATTTGTTTATACTTAATCCGTCAAAAATCTACTTACAAAAACGCTAGAGCCTTAATCTGTAGCAACTAGTTTTTTCCGTTAGTATGGACAATTGTCGATAAATTTAATCCAAGACTATTTAATCTTAAATTTTTTTACAGCATTGAATTTATAACATTTCACATACGTCAAAAATGAGTAGAATCATTCATTTAGTAGTATTGTTGCCTGAAGCTACTTTTTAACTATCAAAAGTATTAGTTAAGTAGTTTACGCATTTAAAAAATGACCCCTTCGTATTTTAATGGGTACTCGCCCCGTGGTCAAAACCTCGACCTATAGTATGTATTGTGAAAACTTCTCTATTTTACCCCACGCTGTAAATAAAACATGTGATTGGAATTTCTTACATTTGTTTTGATTTTCTGTTTATATTTTGGTGTTATTTCGTCACCAACAGGGCAACCCATAAGGCCCATGTTATTTTATTTTAAATCAATTTTTTTGTGCTTATTATTGAGCCTATTTTAATTTATAAAGGCATTCTGCACATCTACAGACAAATATCTTTGTAACAGTATACGTAGATTTTCCCTACGATGCACAGGAGCTGAGAAAAAAGGTTAAACATGATTGTCTATTAATAAACAAACCTTATGGTATTGTTTGGGACATAATTTCCTCTTTTTGACACACAGTACGTGCATAATACTGTTAATGCGGCTCCTGTATTACTGTAATTGTAAATAAAAACCAAAATAGAAGATGGAAACGAAACCAAAATCAAACTATCAAACATCCGATAATTGGAAAGAGATAACCAACCCAACGGCTATTTGGAACCACTAATAAACTCTTGTATAGGTATAGTTATTTTTATATTTTACTAAGCCAATACATTGGACAAATGTGCTTTAAATCCTTCGTTTTGTAAACTTTAACAGGATATGTTTTGGGAAGTATACTGGTATTGTATAACATATTTTAATTGCTTGCAGTAACGGAAGTTTCGCTTTGCTCCGGAAGCAACAGTAATATCCGCTCTTTATTGCCACCAATGTTACAGGAACTCTGTCCTCAATACACACGCTCTCCTACTCTAAACAATCTACAAACTTTACAAACATGCCTTAATTAAAATAAAAATAAGTACACAACGATGTCTTGTCTTGATGAAATGTGGCAAACCATACCCTATAGATGAGGTTTTGGTTAAACGATCATGATATTAGGGAATGAGTCGGAGATACTGTTATACAGGGTGATTTGTACTCAGTGTGACAACATTTTTTTGATGTAAGTACAAAGTAAATGAAGTGTGATGATGCATATCAAATGTTCCAAGTCTCAAACTTAGCGTCCCAAAAAAATATTTTAGGTTTTTCAAAAATAACCATGCTTTTAAACTTAATACAGCGATTTCTCAATTACCTGTATATGGATTTGAGTAGATAATGTCATTTTCGTGTTCTACATTAAATTTTGAACAATAATAATGGAAAATGACGGAGGATCAGTTATAAAAACTCCATTGTAAATATATTCAAAGATAAAAATTAAGATATTTGATAAAAATTTTAAAAACAATAGTCTATTGCATTTTTTACACCCTGTATACAAGAAAGTGTCGGAATATGTTAAAAGCTGCGCCATTTTATAAGCTTTCCAACCATATGCTACACTATTGAGGTTTAGATATTTTTTTGTTTGTTTTAGTGGTTTGAATACCAGAAAACAGGGAACTTTTTTACTGTTTTTACTGTTCAAGCTGAATCAAAAATACAACTTTTGCTTAATACATGCCAACTTTCTATGTTTTAAATGTTAAAGACACCATGCTTTGTAGTCTTCTAACCATTAAAGCGTACATAAGCAGACATAAACCTCAACAGTGTAGCATGTTGGAAAGGTAAAATGGCGCAGTTTTTAACATATTCCGACACTTTCTTGTATACAGGGTGTGAAAAATGCAATAGACCATTGTTTTTAAAATTTTTATAAAACATCTTAATTTTTATCTTTGAATCTATTTACATAGGAGATTTTACAACTGATCCTCCGTCATTTTATATTATTCTTGTTCAAAATTTAATGTAGAACACGAAAATTACATTTTCTACTCAAATCCATATACAGGTAATTGATAAATCGCTGTATTAAGTTTAAAAACATGGTTATTTTTGAAAAACATAAAACAATTCTTTGGAAAGCTAATTTTTAGACTTGGAACATTTGATATGCATCATCACACTTCATTTACTTTGTACTTACACAAAAAAAATTTGTCACTCTGAGTACAAATCACCCTGTATTGATATTAAATGAGTATTGTACACTTACAACATTTATTTGTTGTTATTACAATGTTATAATTTTATTAGTGAATTGTAGTTCGTAATTTCGTCGAGCTATATTGTTCGGGTTGTTCGGTTGTTGCTAGGAGGACATTAGTAAAGAGTGTTCATAATTAACATATGATTGTAAATGCTATACTCTTAACCATATGAACAATTAAGGGTGTTCCTGAGCTATTGAACCTGCACCCCTTTTATGGGATTTTTCAATTATAGGAGAATAATGGGGAATTTAATACACACATGTACAATTACGTCAAATTAAACTTATTTTTTGAAAATAAATTTTGTATTTTTTACCGTTTCTAAATTGCGGCTATTAAAAAATGTAATCTTCGAACATAAACAATTTTACTGAGAAACACAAAGTATATATATTTTTCTGATGAATAATAAATTAACAAATTCGGTTAAATAAATAAAATATACCTCTATAAATAAAAAAAAAAAATATATATAAAAAATATCATTCCTTGTGTTTTTCGGTAATAGTTATTTGTGTAACTAGTGTTCCAAGTAACACTTTGCTGCACATGAGAGAAATGTTTACGCACGAGCCGCAGGCTAGTGTGGAAAGTTTCTCGAGTGCAGCAAACGTACTTTGCGCTCGCGTTTCACATAATATTCATCCTACAGTTAGGCTACTATAAAAGTATAAAGCATAAAAATAATTAGTCTTTCGAACACTAAACAACACGTTTTAGGTTAGGTTAAATTCAAGTGTTGAACGAAATGGGGAACACTGCACCAGCTGATCGTAGTCGTAGTATCTATGAGTGTTGCCAACTCAATTTCAAGCGTACACGTATTAGGTGCCTAATAAAAGCACACGTTTTGTGTTGTTTGGCTGGAATACTGGAGTGCTGCAAAAATTGTTGTAAAAGTAAAATTATTGCTGAAAAAGTAAGTAAATGAAGCAATTAGCTACTTTGCGTGCTAAATTCAGTACAAGAAAGCCCACTTTGTCATGTAATTGTAGGAAAAGTGCTTTGTGTTAGAGATATTAGATTCAAATGTTTAAGAATTGAAAATCTATAAGGAAATTTGTAAAAAAACACATACGAAGATTAGGCATGGGAGACTCATGGCTACATTGCAAAATCTGCTTGTCTCTATGCAAGGAACAATCAAACGAAAGGGGTTAAGGTTATTTGGGGACACCTTAGGCTTATGGCCGTTTAAGGTTGTAAAAAGTAACACGTTATGCACCAATGGTGATTATCAATCGTAAGCATACAACAAATATCATGTAAAATACAAATGTGCATCTACCATTGTCTATTCCAAGGATGTTCTAATGCTGCGATAAACCTAAGTAAAGAGCCTCGAGTAAAGAGTCGTGTGAATATGCATGGACTTGTTTTGTGTGCTGCATATTATCCTTGAGCTCCCATGAGTATGAGCACAGTTCTTACTGAGATATTTTAACATTCTTTCGCTGCATCTCTTTCTGTCTATGTATCTATTTAAGATGCAGTTTAAAAGAACGTGGAGTAAAACGTTTTTTAGGATGTCTTATAATTACTAGGATACTCTTAAGCTTGCCTCGAATCTAAATCAAACTGACATTGATTTAAAATCGTATTGTTAATACTTATCTAAACTATCACACGGTATTTTTGTACAAGAAAGGCTTATGGGACAGAATAAATCCAAGAAGAAATATTGTTGTTGTCACCTGCTTAGCTTCTTTGTTACTTAGTAAACGTAACCATAACACTCGAAACTGAATTATGTTCTATTGTGTACCATTCTTTAAGAGCATAACATTTTATTTCCTCGTTTCAATTGGTTTTTAATGTAGGCTCATTTCATAGAATGGTGTAAAACATCTTTCGTTACAAGTTAGTACTTAACTGCGTTTGGCCTTAAACAGAACATTTCAAATTACAGAATATCATTTTGGTCTTTGGTGTCAAGTTTGATATAGGCGTGACTATATAAACCTATCCGTCCGAATCGGAAATTCCAACGTTCATGCATAACATTGTATCTGTCAATACAGTTAGGTATTATTGCAATTGCGTTTATATGGTATTTGATGGATACAAATGCTCTAAACAGTATCATATTAATGAATTAGTATATTTGTTATCCCTTACATTTTGCATCGATGCCTGCTACTTTGATTTAGCTTGCTAACTTAATGCACTGTATCCTAGGAACCGCAAAGAACATTTAACAGTACTAAATTTAAAGTTGATTTGCCCAAGATTAACACAGGACTTGACACGATGTCAGCATCAGTACGATCTCAGCCGTCGACCGCCTCTCAGCCAGCCCACAAGTCCGCTAGGTCGCCCAAGTGTGCTCTCTGTGGCGGCGTCATCGCGGACGTCGTGGTACAAGCCATGGACACTACTTGGCACCAGGACCACTTCCAGTGTGCTCACTGTCAGAGACCAATCACCTCCCCCAGATACCACGTGTTTGACGGCAAGTCTTACTGCGAGGCTGACTACGCGGCGCTCTTCCTCAAGAGGTGTGACAAGTGCCAACAACCCATCAAGGACGTCGTAGTTATGGCGTTAGGTAAGTGTACATTGGTGAAATATCATACTGTATACAGGTATACAGGAGAGGAAGCTTGACCTGGTTGAAGTATGTAAGATGAACATAATTCCATTGACAGAAAATTATTTTAATTGATGCTGTAAATAGTAACCCATTCTGCAAATAGCTAAAAGCTTTAAAATATATGTCAATGTTCCAATATTTTATTAATGTCACCATGATATTTTTGATGGTGACAGTAATAAAAGACTATAATCGTCTTCTATGTTCGTATTTTAAGTTGAGCATGCGTGCTCGATAAGTGAGTAAATTGAATTGATGATTTAGTCTTTATAGTTGTGTCACTGAGAAGTTTCCTTAACTTGGACCGTAAATTAAAATACCATTATTTGAACAGCTGAGCTTAGTTTTGAGTAATTGATAAGTAACTGACTTTTATTGGGATAGAACATTGAAATTTGCTAATTGTTAGACGAGCCCTTAACTTTCATGCAGCTATTCAGCTATAATTACTGGATTTATCTTAATAATACATCTGTATAAGTTGTTATAAGGTTATACCTTTATCAACTGCTGCAACCTATTTAAAGAACACTTCAATGATAAACTATCAACCTTACTGAGCATATATTCAATATCATTCATGGTTTCCAAACCTTATAGGCAGACCGTGGCACAAAGAGCATTTCACCTGCAACTCCTGCTCCACACTTCTGTCCCACAAGGGTTTCTACGAGAAGGAGGACAAGCCTTACTGCTCAGACTGTTTCGAGGGCAAGTTCTGTCCTGTGTGCCACTCGTGCGGCAGAACCATCGTGGACCAAGCCGTGGTCGCACTAGGAGACAAGTACCACCTGACTTGCTTCAGGTGCACTCGCTGTGATCAAGCTATCAGAGACGGGACTTTCAAGATACTTGATAAAAGACCTGTCTGTGAGAAGTGCTACCTTTAGTGCTATCTGTAGTTGAAGCAATATGAACCAAATACGTCATTAGGATTTTACTTGTTATGTGTCATGTTACATCCACCTTAATAAACCCTAATATGATACCGTGTGTAAGCCAGTTCAATTTAAGACTAGGATAATGCAAACAAGATAACATGATATTATCAATTTGAAGAAATACGTATTGTGAAATTAACATAAGATTTTGCTTAGTTATTTAAACTTATGATAAATACTGTCTATTTACTATCAACAGTAACTTAGTGTAAGTAATAGACCATTTTATGTTCTACAGTTTTGTATCAGTCATTTAAGCCAATTTACCATTTAAAGAATTAGCTATTACCGTAGGTGATAAAACCTAAGACGTGGTACGGATCCACGTGTTCTTTTTAATGTGTCCAGAGGCTAATAACACCATTCGTTAAAATTCATAAATAAACAGGTATATCAACACATAGAGGGCAAACAACTAACGTGTGCCATCATTGGTATCTCAAAAGCTATTATATTTAGAGAAAATATTAAATAGAGAACATAGTATTTTTTATGCCATTATAAATATGAATTCCACTTTTTTCAAAAATGTGCCTATCCCAATATGGAGACTCACTCAAAAGTTTTTATGGATTACGTATTATTTTATGATTGTTTAATAATGTACGGGATAAGACGTTTTTTTCTTGACATTTTACTCGAAAACTAATTTTTTAAGAGCAACAGCGTTAAGGAAAGGATTAAAAAGTCTCAAAATGCACCTGCATTAAAAAATATGATAAAATACAGATAAAAAAAAAATTCAAGCCATTCACCATTTTGAAAATTGGTGGTCATCTTTGAAAAAGTGGAATTCAAAGTTTTATAGAATAAAAAAGGAAGGTATTTATTTTATTTTATTTAGTTTTCATTAAATAGTATAAAATGTTACTAAGCTATTGAAATGTCGATTTAAAAACATACTTTATTACCTTCCTGTAGCAGCAAAACTGAGTACTTATAAAAATCATTCTATTGAAATGGAAAATAAATCAGAGAATTTTATAATGATATCCATTACGTAAATTGAAAAAATCTTAGTTCTACGTGTTATTTTGTAGTACTATATGTATTCGCCAGTTTTATATGCCATGCTAATAACCTAACAAGAGATGAAGGGCGTATAATACTGGTGCTCGTCACACTCATTAAAACAGGAAATAAAGTCATAGTTTGCAAGTATAAGATTATAAGGTTGTTAGACAACAAAAAGTATTGAGATAAATTTAGTTTTACTGCTAAAATTAACAAAACTTACTGTAAATATTGTAAAAGTTTGAATAACAGAAAGTTAAAAAAATACATTGTAAAAACCGTTGATGATAGACTATGAGTGACAGATTCGATTAGGCCTGTCACCCGAGAACCAATGATATTGCACTGTGACGTCACTGACTAAACAGCCTGATCTGATATATGTGCGAAATATTCAACTACCTTATGCCTACACACAATCACTGACTCTATTTACTATATATACAGTGTGTTTTTTTTAACTTGCTTCTTTATTCATGTAAAAACTGCAATAGATGGAAATATGCAGTTTGTGGGAATCGTCTATTCAATTGTTGTGAATTTCATGTGAAGTTCTCATTCTCCTCCTTTCCCCTCTACCCTTAACTTAAAATTTTTAAACTGCTAGGTACCCCTTTTGACATATAGGTGTGAGGGCATGAAAAAAGGAAAAATGGTGCAAACCAGAGATCTCTACGTCAATCCGATAAAAAGTTATGGCAGTTAAAGATTTTATTTTTTCGCCACATTTTCAAAGAAAAACACGTTTTTTTGAACGGCTGTAGCTCGAAAAGCAAAGTAGCTAGCAAAGATTTGAAAGAATTTTCATGATCAGGAATTAAATTTTCTACAATACACTTCTAATCGTTTTCCGAAAATCGCAAACCTTCACCTTCAAAAATCGCCCTACTTCTAAAATTTGTAAAAACTTTTGGTTATTTTACGGGTTTTTAATTGAACAAGCATGCCAGCTAGTCACACCTTTGAAAAATGCTTTTAAAATAAAAAAAAAACTTAAAAAATCCGAGAAATTTTACAAATTTTAGAAGTAATGGTACCTTGCATTTTAAAAATTTTTACTGAAAGGTAGGGGGAGAAAGGGAGTAAACGGAAACTTCACATTAAACTCACAACAATTGTGGCCTCTACGTCAAAAGACGATTCCCGCAAACTGCATATTTCTATCTATAGCAGTTTTAACATCTGAAGCAAGTTAAAAAAACACCCTATTGGGTATATAGTTAATAATACAATGTGTTTATGAATTCAACGCCAAAACAAACCTGCAGACTGAGCAAATCTCGGTTGGCTTACAGAGATTACAATATTTTAACTTAAATATTTCCATAATAAGCTAATATTTATTACTAATGAAAATAATATCAAATATAAAAGTAAGTACTGTAATTTTAAATATAAAATATTTAGAATATACAATGAAATAATTAAGTTTGCTAGATTCCATTATTATTTCGTTATAAACAAGCAAACTACAACGGTTTTAATTTTTTTCCATTATTCTTATGGTAATATTATTTTTTTTTGTTCTTTTCTGGGAATTTGCTCCTTTTAACATTTAATCTTAAAGCAGTATAAACAATTGTTTGTGTTTTAAACGCTGCAAGATTAATGTAATGAAATTGGGCATTTCAATGTTTTAAAGTAAACATTTTAAAAACTAATTGGGAGTAAAAATGGTGTATAAAAAAACCCCAATACCCAGTTCCTATCGTCCCGATAGTTCTGTTTCGCAAAATCAATCATGTTTATTAAATATTTTATATTCATGGCATATTTCATCAACATTTTACTAAAATAACTTGCGTATCGTGTTGACGGACATAACAAACTGACGGATAGTGTTTTTTGCCTCTAGGGACATGAAAGTTAAAAATGTAAATTGATCCTGCGTTTGGGTTATTTCATGCCGATCGGTAAAAGCTGCTTGCTAATAGTAAAAAAATAAACGCTATCAGCAATCTGAAACATACTTTCTCCGATAAGCCTGCCAACAACCTTTATTATGGGTAAGCGGTGAGAGTAACTATGATAATTTTGTAGAAAAAATCACAAAAGTTGCAATAACTTTTTAACCATAATTGTTACAGTAATGGGGGTTGTAATATTTTGTTTGGAATTATTAGGACTATAACATATTAATTTTAATCAAAACTGGGTTTTTCGAAATAAGATTTTTTGTAATTTTATGGGATTTTTATGGAAAATAACATAAGTTACAAGTTACAACAAATTTTGAACCGTAATTTTTACGGAAATGGGATTTGTATAGTTTTGTTCAGAATCTATAGGAATATACATACTTAAATAGTTATCAAAATTGTTTGGGCCATTTTGAGAAAACCAGATTTTTCTGTTATTTTATGGGTCTTTGTGGTAAAATCCTTATTAAAAATCTAAAAATGCCTGGAGATACCATGGATTAGTTCACCCACTTTTATGGGTTTAGGTGGGCCCAAAATGGATATATCCACTCAAAAGTCAAACTCGAAAATTTTTACGAAAACAATACTTTCTCCATAATACTACGGTATAGCCCCCTATACCTATAATTCTTTCCCCTCAGAAAGTAAAAACAGGAAGGACTTGTGGGGTACTTCATTAAAATTATTTGCCATCTTGCTATATATGGTAGTTAACCTGCATGCAGAACGTAAATAGAAAAAGAAAATACATGAACAGTTTCTTAACATAGACGAAAAAGAAATATTTTTCTTTCCTAAATGTCCTAACAGAAACTGGGTCCAATCCAACCTAAAGTGTTTCAACATTCAATATTATTTTACTCGGTGTAATATTCATTCAATGTACATATCGAGCCCCTTAACAGGGTGGCAATAGAAGAAATATACTGTACATCTAACTACTTGTCTACCCTAATATAGTTCTTTGTTTAGTGAACATTCATATAAAATGTTGGCATAGCATAAATAATGGAAATTGAGCGGTAAAACCTACCCCACAGTAAAATATCCCTTTGAACTAGCTATTGGTTCAATGAAGGGTTACACGATCTTATAATGCCTATTTAGTAGACTGTAATACATTTTATGAGGAAATTGTAAAATAAGTAATTTAAACCAAAACCGTATAAATTGAATGAAACATAGTCAATAAAGGACTTGTTTAACAATCCTTTCATAATGTAAAAGAATATTACATCCCTCCTGAGCAATTCATCATCAAATGCACTTCATCTTAGCTGTCAAGATGGTTTTTACAGATTATTTCTAAATGTCTAGAACGTAAAACTAGGAGTGGTTGCATTACTTACGCTTGATTGTAAAGTATAAAATAACTTAAATGTGTTTCAACATCAATTCCTTTCACCGATAAACATATTTTTATTAATATAATTTCACGAGACTATTCGTTTTATTGAAGGAAGAAAACTTGTGGTTCCAACGTGGATGGAGTTAAACTGACGATGGAAGAGTGTCGGTGACGACGATCCATCAAAGTGACAGGTTCAATCAAACCGACGCGTACCCTTCTGCTAGCTGTGCACTGTGCTCTGTGCAGCTCACGGGTCATGTTTGTGTATAGTATCCTTCTGCTAGCTGTGCACTGTGCACTGTGCAGCTCACGGGTCATGTTTGTGTATAGTATCCTTCTGCCAGCTGTACGCTGTGCAGCTCACGGGGCATGTTTGTGTATAGTATCCTTCTGCTAGCTGTGCACTATGCACTGTGCAGCTCACGGGTCATATTTGTGTATAGTATCCTTCTGCTAGCTGTGCACTGTGCACTGTGCAGGTCACGAGTCATGTTTGTGTATAGTATCCATCTGCTAGCTGTACGCTGTGCAGCTCACGGGTCATGTTTGTGTATAGTATCCTTCTGCTAGCCGTACGCTGTGCAGCTCACGGGTCATGTTTGTGTATAGTATCCTTCTGCTAGCTGTGCACTGTACACTTGTGCAGCTCACGGGTCATGTTTGTGTATAGTATCCTTCTGCTAGCTGTGCACTGTGCACTGTGCAGCTCACGGGTCATGTTTGTGTATAGTATCCTTCTGCTAGCTGTGCACTGTGCAGCTCACG